AATATAATCCCAAAAAAAATAAAAAACATATTCGGCAGCCAATGGCTGTCGAATATAAGCTGCTAAAATTATAAATCTGGCTACGAAATTCTGTCGATAGTAATTATATTCGACAGTAAGTATTTGTCGATTTAACTCGTATATTCGATAGAGAAAATTTCTGTCGAATATACTGATTATCAACTGCATTTTATACGACATCTTTTTTTGTCAAATATGTCTGTCGATTAAAGAATAATCGACAGAAATTTCTATATATTCGACAGAAAATTTTGTCGAATATACTACATTTTCCAATAGTGGCATTTCTCGGCCATCAAGGTTTGGATCGTATTTATATACGCACTTAACCACTTGTACACAAAATTTTTACATTTGTTTGCTGATAAAAATTGCCGAAAAACTTGCCTATTGATGAGTTAAATTTATATACATATTAACATGGAATTGTTACTTTGATATTGTTGATATTTGGATGAGTTTTATGAGATTTTATTGAGTTTTATGAGACTTTACATGATTTTCATTCTTTGTGCAGAAAAAGACTTGAATGCATAAAATAAGAGTTTTTACGATTTATTGAACATCTTTTAAAAGATGAGGGACTGAATTACAAGAAGAAGGACGACCATTTGGGACCTAAATGAATTAATTTGAGTTTTGGGGTCTAAGTGCTCATCGTACAAAATATGGAGGACTAGAACTGCTATTTTACCATTGAAGAAATTCCAAAAGGAGGTCAGAAACCCGACATGGGTGTAGTGTCAACACGTAACCGGGGTGTCGACACCATGCGTTAAATGTCCAAAATTAGATTCTATTTTCTATTTTGTGTCAACACGTAATCCGAAGTGTCAGCACCACGCGATCAGTATCCAAAATTCAGTTTCCTATTTCTGTTCCAAGTCCTACTTCTATTTCAATTAGGGTTTTTAAAATCCTATAAATACCCATCCAAATTCAGAATTAAGGGGTGCTTTGTGGAGGTTGGTGTCAACCCTCTTTTGGGTATTTTTGGAGGTAAAGATAAAGGATCTATCAAGGAGAAGATCAAGGATCTATCAAGGAGAAGATCAATGATTTCAATTACCTCAAATTAGGTTTTGTTTTTCCTTAGATAGTCTTATGTTTATAATTGTGATTTCAGATTTTATTATTTTTATTATGAACTAATATATTTTATTAAGGCTATGATGTAGCCTAATCAATTCAATATAGATTTTGTGATTTTATACTTTCAATTAAAGTTATTTGCATGAGCAGTTTATATTATTGAACTTAATGTATCGGAAGTCTGATTACCTTTTAATTGATTTAGTGATTTATGCATAAACTTGAGAAAAAATT